CCAAGCTGGGGTTCGAGGGGAGTTGGTGGATGTGTGGCAGGTAACTGAAAGAACGCTCGAGGGACCGTAGGCAGCTGGGACGTGGCTTTATTCTGTCTCCTACAGAGTCAGCAGTGCCATTATATTACTCACAGACAATATGGCTTAAAGGATGTATGTACCAGTGCAAACCATCCAGAGCTGCTGCTGGAAGGGCAGTGCAGATCCAAGTTACAAACATTGGTCATCTCAGCGAAGGTGTGGGCCCATTTCACAATGCTACTGGAGCAGTATGAGCTCACACAAACAGGTTACATTAAAATGGCTGCATAAATTTGATTACATACTGCACAGGGTTGTGAGCCTGTGCTCCAGACCCTCTGTAATGATGTCTACCTCAGCCTGTTCCTGACTGAATCACAGCCATTTTTCTTACACTCCACCCGCTAGGCTGAGGAAGTCCTTCTAATGGGGAGACGTGCCCACAGGGCAGAACTCTGGAACCAAAGGCCATGGCAGCAATACAGGGAGCAACAACTTACTACTAATGTTCCCACTATGCTGCCCATAATTATTAGGGTCCAGCATAGGCCAGAGTCCAGAGATGCCCACCATGTCAGTAGGGGGTCATCAGTAAGGCTCTCAACTGCCTGGATTTCCTGGGAAACTTCTTGAAAAGCTGTTATGTTTTGTTGATTGTCAGGGATGAAGGTACAACATTGCATTCCTAAAAGAGCACAGGTGCCACCTTGGGCAGCAGTTAATATGTTTAGAGCCATCTGGTTCTGCAGTACCACCTTCTGGATTTGATCAACCTCATCTGTCAACAGAAGGATGGCAACTCGGGTGTAACTCAAAGCTCAAGCAATGTGCTCCACAAGGGCCGTAACTTGCATTTCTACAGTTATGACACCTGCTCCAGGGATGGTTAAGGCTAAGAGGTAGAGTCACCAGGGGGCTCATCACACTCACAAAAACTGGGAACATAGCATCTCCCACTTACGTGGGCCTCTGAGCAACGTGGGAATGACAGTGGCAAGCATATCAGTCCACTCCCAGGTACAGCAGCCAGTCCAGTTTGCTGACAAACATGACCATCCTGTGTCACCACAGACATGAACTTCCTGGGGGCACAAAGCACATTGGAGCCTGACCTTGATGAGGCTACCTATTCCACAAAGGTGTGGTGACATATTGTATTTGTGTAGACTATGGTAGGCAACCACCCCACGGTGATGTTATCCCAATGTTGCTCTATACATCATGGTACCTGTTGTGGGGGCACCATGTGTTCTCCCACTACCCAGCTCCATCCATCGTAGATGCTATGGGTCAGCCAGAAAGTGGGCATTCCTTGGGTTTTGTGGCATCCCCTATCCAAAGCTTGCTGTGTCATGTTTCAAATGTCAGCCATGGAACCCCAAATCTCTAACCGTGTCCAGTTTTCCACAGAAGCTCAGTGAAAATAGGATTTCAAAGAGATATTTACACTCCCATATTCATTGCAGCATTAATCACAGTAGCCAAAATGTGGAAACAACCTAAATGTTCATTGACCGATGATTAGATAAGGAAAATGTGGTATATTCATACAATGGAATGTTATTATTCATCCTTTAAATAGAAGGAAATCCTATCATATGAAACAATATGGATGAATCTTGAAGACATTATTCTAAGTGAAGTAAGCTAGTCAGAGAAGAACAGATAGTGTATGATTCCATGACTATGAGGTATCAAATGTAATCAAACTCATAGAAGCAGAAGGTAGAATGATGGCTTCCACAGGAGAGCCGGGTGAGGTGATGGGGAGTTGGTGTTCAGTGTTCAGTGAATATAGTGTTTCAGTTACACAAGACGAAAAAGCTCTAGAGATCTACTGTACAATATTGTGCTATAGTACACACTTAAAATTTTGTTAAGAGGATTGATTTCATATTGTTAGTTTTTACCACAATTTTAAAAATGTAAAACAATGAAACTTCTTGAAGAAAACAGAGGAAAAGCTTTGTAACTTAGGATGAGGCAAAAAACTTCTTAGATGTGAAACCAAAAGTATAATCCAAAAAAGAGTATATTTATAATTTGGACTTCATAAAAACTTCTCTTTAAAAGACACTGTTTAAAAAATAAAAAGACAAACTACAGACTGAGAGGAAATATTTGCCAATAATATCATTCATAAAGGACAAAATGTGTAAAGAACTCTCAAAACTCAATAATAAGAACACCTAATAAAAAATGTACAAAAGATTTAAACAGACACTTAACCAAAGCAATGTAGAATATGCTCAACATCATTAGTCTTTACAGAAATGTCGATTAAAACCACAAATGAGATACCACTACAAGCCTATTAAAATGGCTAAAATCAAAAAGACTGACTGTACCAAGGTTTGGCAAGAAAGTGGAAGATCCCTGAGCCACTGACGGTAATGTAAAATGGTACAGTTGCTTTGCAAAACAGTTTAGCAGTGTCTTTAAAAGTTAAACTTATACCTACTATATGATCTAGCCATGCTGCTCCTAGGTTTTTAACCAAGAGAAAGCAAAGGATACATTTATACAAATATTTGCATAGACAAATATTTATATTAGTTTTGTTTATAATTGACATAAAGTAGAAATAACCCAAAAGTCCATCAATGAGTGAATGATTAAATAAACTATGGAATATACATATGACGGTATACTACTCAGCAATAGAAAGAAATAAATGGTACACAAAACAACAGAGACAAATCTCAAAATAATTATGTTGAGTGAAGGAAGTCAAACACAAAAAAGTTCATATTATATGATTCCGTTTATATAAAGTATTGGAAAATTCTTAGCCATTATCTCTTCACATATTGCCTCTCCACCATCCCCTGATTCGTCTCCTTCTGTGATCATTATAATACTTACTTTAGCCCCTTTGACACCGACCCTCATGTCTTTTACATTCCTCTATGAGTTTTGCATTCTTTCTCTGTGCTTCTGTTTGGATTTACTTGTCTTTCTGGTGTTTTGCTGTGCTCAGTTGACTTAATTTCAGATTTTGTTTTCAGTTTTTAAGTACCACTTATTTTTCTTATAAATTCCAATTACCTATTAAACTTTGCATTTATTCATCTGTGTTAGCTTGGGCTGCCATAACAAAAACCATAGACGGGATGGCTTCAACAATAGCAATTTATTTCACTGCAGCTCTGAGGAGGCTGGAAGTCTGAGATCAGGGTGCCAGCATGGTCTGGTTCTGGTTCTGGTGGGGACTCCCTTCGTGCTTGCAGATGGCTACCTGTTCACTGTGTGAAGGAGACTTTATTTTATCTTCTCAATTTCCTATTAAATTTTTTATAATCCAAATTTTAATTTCCGGTAATTTGTTGTAATTCCTTAATCTTTATTACTGTGTTGCCTTTTTTATGTGATTGGCAGAGAAGGTGAGTATTTGGGGTTTGCTTCTGTTTGGACTCCTATTCTCTACATGTATCTTTATTTTTTTCCATTTTTTTTAACTTAAATTTCTTTGCTGAACATTGCACACTTTTCTGGAGTATCTTGAATCATTTTTACCAATATATATTTAAGACTGAAGAAAAAGAAAGAGGAAGTCAGAGTGAGACTTACAGATAATCAAACTTTATCAGCTACCAGGAAACCAGTCATTTTTCTAGCACACCTCTTCCTCAAAACAGTGCCAGATTACGGAAAACTTTACATAGGTAGGCAGTAGCTACACCCGCTCTCCTAGATGGCTTCTTTAATATTTCTTAAAAGGAACTTCTATTTTATTTTGTTTATCTGATGTAATCAAAGTTATGGCCTGTTTGGTTTGCTTTTGCCAGGGTGTAAATACTGCCTAAAGGTCATTCTGTACACGGGGATAGGGTGCAAGTCAACTTGCGTGTACGAAGCTCCAACTGTCCTCCTGTCTGGGTCCCCCCTTTTAATTCTCATTCTTTGTTATGCATACAGTCTCAAGCCTTTCTAGGATATTACCAGGGGAGTTGACTGTCTTTAGCTGTAGTTTCCTTGGAATTACAAATATCAATAGAGAGCTGGTTCTTTCTCTTTGTTCAGGTTTCAGCTCCAACATCACCCCAGAAAAGTCTACCGTGACTTCTCTATCTAAATAAACCTTATCTCAATCACTCTCTATTACGGTTTTCTATCTTGTCATCCTCATAGCATCCATCATCATCTGAAATGATTTTGTTATTGGTTTTTTACTTCCCCTACTAACATGTAAGCTCATGGGAAGAAGTTTTGTTTGCCTTATCTATAGCTACTTCCTCAGTGGCTTTACCAATACCTGTAACATGAGTGGTGCTCAGATATTTATTAAATAAAGACATAGTCATAAGATACAGGGCAAGGTCAGAGGAAGGAGAGAAGCTTCTGCTCCATCTCAAAATTCAACTAGCCCAGGCTCAGCCCCATTCCCAGAAATTCTCATTCCAAACTCAAATTCATTCTCCCCTATCCAAGCTTAGAAAACCAGGGATGATATCATTTATCTTTTACCCATCCTTGCCTCGCCTCCAATTCCTATGTTCCTAGTTTATTGATTATTACATCTGTCTGGTAATTTCAAATTCACAGTTTCTCATCACCTCCCTAAATACAATGCTTTTGACTGTGCCTTACCTCCATCCTGTCTACCTAGATGTGTCTCAGAATAATAGAATAGTTAAGAGCAAACAAAAAGTAATAAATATGGAATTGAAGAAAACAAATTTCCTCCACCTCTCTGTCACTTGAGACAAAACTGGTTCCTTCCCCCAGGGCGGTTCTGTTTCAGGATCTTGTCCCTTCATAGACTCATAGTCCAGCTCATAGTTGCTTGACTCTCTGTGCAAGGATGCAAAGAGAATGAAAGTTGCTCTTGCATCAGAAGGACTGTCTCAAGGGCACCTGTGCTGTCTGCCTCCAATATGTATAATACAGGATGCTAGACTGGTCTTTCAGCCTCAAGTTCTTTTTATCTTCACAGAAGGTACACATGCATGAATTAATAATCAATAAAATAAACATACGTCTGTCCTCTGGCATCTCATTCACCATAAGTGGACACCATGACCTAGAGAAATACAACAAAAAGAGATTAGGAAAACGTTGGAGAGAACCAGTGCTGTGTTCCTTTGGAAGCTAAGCAGTAAAAGCTGTAAAAGTACATGAGTGCCATCTAAAGGCAAAACTAGTACTGCAGGGTTGTTAAAGGCTGTTCATACTAAGGAGGAAAGAGAAATTTGCTCCTGGAAACCCCTAAGTGAAGTGAAAACTTGTCATAACAACCTGATGGATCCTGCCCTATCATCTATGACTGGTAGTAAGCAAGTTTTTCATATCCTGAGTCAAAATTTGCCTCTGCCTTTCCTGACCGCTGCAGACCACAGTAACTTCACCTCCTCTGACAGATCCTAGTATATTTTCTTTAACGTTTAATCAGTCCCAAGTCAGAACACATTCTCTCTTCAACAAATATCTTTCTTCATGTATTCTTTGAACCAGACTCTGAGCTCAGCAATGGGACTGTCTGCTGGTTTACAAGTCTCTTCCTGAGCTGGAGGGACATTGTCCATCCCCTCCCTTCCTGTGACAGGAATACCCTGCATAACATCTCTGAAATGCATTTCCTAACCTTTTTAGAACTGGATCCTTCAGGAAAGCACATCCCACCTGCTCTAGGACAGGTAAAAATTTGTAGGCATATAACTTCCCGCAGTGAACATCATGGGTTTGGAAGTTGGGGACATGTAGTATTGAATCCTACCTCTGTGATTCGTGAAATCTGTGAACTACCAAAACTTGGGCAAAGGACTTAACGTCTCTGAGACTTGCTTTCCTAGTTGTTAAATTGAATGACAATATCTACCTATGGTCTTATGGTAAGGGTTAGCAATAGTCCATTTATTTATTTATTTATTTATTTGAGACAGTTTCGCTCTTGTTGTCCAGGCTGGAGTGCAATGGCACGATCTTGGCTCACTGCAACCTCTGCCTCCCAGGTTCGAGCGATTCACCTGCCTCAGCGTCCCAAGTAACTGGGATTACAAGCGTGCGCCACCATGCCCAGCTAATTTTGTATTTTTAGTAGAGATGGGGTTTCACCATGTTGGTCAGACTGCTCTTGAACTCCTGACCTCAAGTGATCCACCCACCTTGGCCTCCCAAAGTGCTGGGATTACAGGTGTGGGTAACTGCACCCAGCTCATTATTTATTATTTATATACAACCTGGCACAACCTGGAACAAAGAAAAAGTGGTAAGAAAATATAAACTTTCACTATCATTATGATAAGAAAAATTCTATGAGATTAAGTCACCTACTTTGCAAAGTTGTTGTGAAGATTAAATTATGTACACAGGTATGATAGACTGCCAGGCAAAACAGAACTTAGAATTTTTTCATCAAGAGAACCTGCCAGTAGGTTTGGCTGGATGTGATGGCTCATGACTATCCCAACACTTTGGGAGGCTAAGGCAGGCAGATCACCTAAGGTCAGGAGTTTGAGACCAGCCTGGCCAACATGGCAAAATCCCATCTCCTCTAAAAATACAAGAATTAGCCAGGTGTAGTGGCGCATGGCTGTAGTACCAGCTACTTGGAGGCTGAGGCAGGAGGATCACTTGAACCCAGAAGACAGAGGTTGCAGTGAGCCAAGATTGCACCACTACACTCCAGAGTGGACAACAGAGTGAGACTCTGTCTCAAAAAAAAAAAAGAGAGAGAACCCACCAGTGGCTTCTATCTGACAACACTATAAGTTTTATCACAATGAAATAGATGTTTCCTTTTTCTCTGAACACTTCAGTTGCATCTCTGAGATACTGCAAACAGAAGACCACAAGGTACACACTAAGATATTAATATGGTTTGGCTCTGTGTCCCCACCCAGATCTCATCTCAAATTGTAATCCCCATGTGTTAGGGGAAGGACCTGGTGGGAGGTGATTGGATTGTGAAGGCAATTTCACCCATGCTGTTCTCTTGATAAGTGAGTCAGTTCTCACAAGAACTGATGGTTTTAAAGTGTGGCACTTCCTGGCTCTCTCGCTCTCTCTCTCTCTCTCTCCTGCCACCTTGTGAAGAAGGTCCTTGCTTCCCCTTTGCCTTCTGTCATGATTCTAAGTTTCCTGAGGCTTCCCCAACCATGTGGAACTGTGAGTCAACTAAACCTCTTTTGTTTATGAATTACCCAGTCTCAGGTAGTATCTTCATAGCAGTGTGAAAACAGACTAATACAGATGTGGAACAGTTGTAACAGGATTCTTTAAGGCTCACAAAGATTATCCTTTGCAAAATGTCCCAAGATTTGGCTACTTGGGAGAGGGAGCTAAATTTGCACAGCGTGGCCAGGCACAGTGGCTCATGCCTATAATCCCAGCACTTTGGAAGGTCAAGGCGGGCAGATCACCTAGGTCAGGAGTTCAAGACCAGCCTGGCCAACATGGTGGAACCCTGTCTCTACCAAAAATACAAAAATTAGCCCAGTGTAGTGGTGTACACTGGTAATCCCAGCTACTCAGGAGGCTGAGACAGGAGAATCGCTTGAACCTGGGAGGCGGAGGTTGCAGTGAGCCAAGGTTGCACCACTGCATTCCAGCCTGGGCAACAGAGCAAGACCCTCTCTCAAAAATAAATAAATAAATTTCCACAGAGTCAAGCCAATATCTTCTCCCTAACAATCGAGGTTAGATTCTCTCTGATAGATTGAGTACATTTGGAAACATCACCATATGCTTTACACTACACAATGTTCTTGAAAAAGTCAAGGAAGATGGACATGATTGGCAGATAGGCCTTAAGCAATTAAATGAAAAGCAAAAGTGATATAACCTATTTTTATGCCTTGGGCTGATAAAGAAAATCAGTCCAACTATTCATGTGCAGCATCACATCTGGTATGCGGTAGCACTCAATCAATGGTGGTTTTTATTACTGATATTGTTCCAAGTGGTTTCTTGCTAATCCAACCCAGAGCTCGTGTCATCTGGCAACAGTCTCATCTGGGCCCAGTTGGCAACTTCTCTATGAGCTATCCCTGTTAACAACCTTTCTAGCTCACACAGTGGTAGGCCAGAGCCTGTTAGGATGGAGGGAGAGATGGCAGGGAAGCGTGGCCAGCCAAGGCTGCCAGCACAGACACAATTCAGAATTCTAAAATATGTTCCCCAGCAAGGAGAGATCTGAGAAATGCCTCAATGTAATGCCTGCCCTTTGGACTTGTCTAACAGGAGCAACTTGCTCTAAGTGATGTATCTAAAGTGTAGCTACCCATGCTGTAGATTATTTTTCCTTTTTCTGTTCCCCCATCAGTGTTAACCTTCTTGCACAGAATAGAGGAGAACAAACAGAGAAGGGAATGAAGTAATAGTTCTTAGGGATGTGACAAAGTCCAGAGGCCTCAAATCATCTCTTGAGTGTGTTACACTTTCTCTCCCAATGGATTTTCCATGTTTGCTACACGAATAATGCACTGTTAAGTACTGAAGCAATACAATGGTAACCTTAACAAAACAGCAATTTGAAGGTTAAACTGCCGTTTCTAGTTTGTATCTCAATAGTGCATCTTTCTTTAAAATGCATGCTTAATTACATTAGAGGCATGGGGAATAAATCATATTCCCCTTGCCTATGGTGGGGATCACCTTATGGATGCAAATATCAAGATCTATCTTTAGATTTATTAGTGACAAATATCAGCCCATTGTCTTAATGGTGAAATAACATCATCTACTAGCACAGGATACGAATTTAATTTAGTGAAATATCTTTAAAAAAAGAAAAGCTCTGAATCACAAGCCATATGAGCTGGAAGCATTCAGAAAAATAACTCATGCCTGGCTCTTAGCCTCAGAAGGACCCCAGAATCACCTGGGGAGCTTTCAAAAAATGCATTGCACAGGCCCCACCTCAGACCTATTAAGTCAAAATCGGTAATGATAGGGCCCAGTAATCATTTTTAAAAACCTCCCAGGTGATTAATAATTGCAGCCTATAAGGAGCACCACCCATATACATCAACCCCATGATTGCACAAGGGGGCTTTAGCCCCACAGGGGAGATCGCTGGTGCAGGATTCCCAGGGATGGCTGGAGAGTCGGGTCCAGAGCCTGTGGCCCCAGCTGGCCCCCTTCCTGATTGGATACTGTGCCTTCGCATCTCTTTGCTTTGGTTCCTTTTTCCCTCAATGGCCCAGGTTTCTACCTCATTCACTAATTCATTAGACTTGTGTGGAGCACCTACTATGTGCCAGATAACACCATTCCTGGAATATTCCCCTATGTCTTAGCTCTGCCAAATCTTTTCCATTGTGGTGATCTTCTTAGCACTCCTAAAAGGCAAGGCCTCCTTCCAGCAACAGTTTCTGACTGCTCTAACCACAGGAGGGAGCCAAGCACTCCACTCTTTTTTCTATAAATCCACAGATCGGAAAAATCAAGCAGAGGGCAAGTGGATCACAGGGGGCAGGGCCTGCAGGGAGTGGGTAAGGGCTGTAAGAAATGACCTCCAAGTGACCTTTCAGGCTTGAGCCACCGTGCTGCCCACCTGAAGAAGGCCATGGGGTACCCCAAATACAACAGTCTTCACAGGCAGGCACACCTAGAACTTCACTGGCTGAGAGTTCGCCTGGACCATCACTTGTAAAACAACCAGAGAAAGTTGTACAAAGATCCAGTATGGCCAAGTATATAACTGCTGGAACAGAGCAAGTGCCCAATCAACAGAGACTTCCATCTTCTGAGAGCCCCTCCCCTTCCTTTTCTCCCTGTTTTCTTTCATCCTCGTCCTATTCGCTTTCCTTTTCCTGAGAAGCCACATAGCACAGGGAAAGCCTGAGCTGCAGAGCATTCAGCCCTCTGGGTAGCAATTCATGATGGAGCCTGTCCTGCGGAGACCATCCTATAAATGTTAAGTTGTAGCCTTTACATGTTCCAAGGATATGATGAACACTGCCTCAAATGGCCTTGTCTGTCACCAATCCTTCATCAGATCATCCCTCAGTCAGAGGATCTGAGGCAGGAGCCTGTGGTGACCTGCAGGGTCCTTGCTCTGCCCTCCCCAGCCCTCCTTGG